CAAGTTCTATGCCTTTCTTTCTTCTTGTACTTGGTTTCAACGATTGATCTAAAAAAATATTTGGAATGGAGTTGATTAAAATAGTGGGCATAATTTTCATATTCTCATGTTATAAAAAATTTTCTCCAGGCATTATTTTCATAAATTAAAGAATAGCATAATATTCTATATTTTGAAATTCCAAACAATTTTAAAACTAGACATTACTAAAATATTTTCACCTGTCTTCTATTTTTCTGCTTACACTTTACTGAACATCACTCCAAGATTCAGCTTTCTCATTTATAAAATAAGAGTATTAATATGGAAATGACAGTTTTTATAAAATGCCATTTAAACTATAATCTGACATAATGTGAGCTGATATATTACAGCACTCCCCTCCTCACACAAGCTTACAATCTGTTAGAAAGCCTAATCATTTGTCTAATCATAGAATAGTTCTATTTTTATATTACCTGGAATTTATCATTTATTTACCTCTAGTGTTACCTGTGTACCAAAAATGGAGCTCTTCCTTTCTATGAAGATGGTGCCTAAAGCAAAGAAGGAAGCTCTTGCCCCTCCAAAAACTGAAGCCAAAGCCAAGGCATTAAAGGCCATTAGGCAGTCCTGAAGGGCATCCACAGCCAAAAAAAAAAAAAAGATCAGCACGTCACCCACCTTCCGGTGGCCTAATATGCTGAGACTCCGAAGGCAGCCCAAATACCCCCAGAAAAGCGGCCCCAGGAAAAACAAGCTCGACCACTATGCCATCATCAAATTTCCCCTGACCACTGAGTCAGCCATGAAAAAGATGGAAGATAACAACACACTTGTGTTCATTGTGGATGTCAAGGCCAACAAACACCAAATCAAACAAGGTGTAAAGAAGCTCTATGACACTGATGTGGCCAAGGTCAACACTTTGATTAGGCTTGATGGAGAGAAGAAGGCCTATGTTTCATCTGCCCCTGACTATGATACTTTGGATGTTGCCAACAAAATTGGGATCATCTAAACTGAGTCCAGCTGGCTAATTCTAAATACAAATTTTCTCACAAAAAAAAAAAAAAAAA